CGTCGGCAGGGGGTCGGCCGGGGTAGCCCGCAGAGGTCCCCGCCAACCCCGAACGCTCTGTGATGATCTTCAGCCAGAGCAGGCTGCGCAGAGCCCCGTCCAACCTGGCCTCGAGTGTCTCCGGGCATGGGGCCGTTTGGTCGCGGACAGTGTGGTGGAACGCCGTAAATCTGGATTGCGTGTGCTAAGTCTTTGCCCTTCAGAAGCACGGGGCAGGTCTCCAAAGGGGCAGAATCCCCGTCTGGGGCTGGCAGTTCTGAGCAGGCGGGACGGAGCCCTTGGCTGTGACTTGCACGCTTGAAAATCAGACACCTGAGTCATCGGGTGATGCCCTGGGGCAGTCTGAGCGCCCCACTTTTACTCGCGTGATCTCATGTGAGGTGCACGTCCTCTGTCGTCACTAATAGCTGAATTACAGATAACTTTTCTCCTTACATAGAAAAAAAATAAGCCAGTTTATATCTGCAAGGTTTTTCACACAGTTGTTTTGTTCTTTGTTTTTTTTTTAATTTTTCTGTGACTTCTGTGGGTTTATAATGTCAGAATGCTTTTGCGGCGATTGACTCACACTTGATCTTTGCGATCGCTGAATTGTGGCGAACACGCTTACAAAGTGAGCGGTGGGCTACGGGCCTGCCAGACCTTGTTACCGAGTTTCAGGGTGCACCACTTCGCCACCCGGAACGATTTGCTCGTAACTGTGCGGCTGGAGGAGAAACACACCAGGCACCACTCGTGTCGAGAAAGTGTAGGTCAAGTGTTGGGGACGCATTCCCTCTGCACCCGCTGGGAGCAGGCGGCGGGGGCCTGGGCACCTCTGGTGTGCGGAGCTGCTTTGTTTTGGGGTGGGAAAGCAACAGCTTTTGTGCTTATACCCCCCCGCCCCCCAACCCAGGCTGAGCCCTGCTCTGACAGCTCTGACCCAGGTGCTGCGTCGTCACCAAAGGGTCGAGCCGTGCGAGTGGCACCAACGTGATCCTCATTCAGGCATAAGAGTGCAAAGCACTGAAGTGTGACCTGAGCAGCCGGGTTTTCAGTGGAGCTGCACTCCCCTGGGCACGTGCCTGTTATACCTATGGTTTCTGTGTGCTATCAGAACCACGCTATGGCTCACAGGGTCACAGAAACATAGAATGGGATGGGTTGGAAGGGACCTTTAAAGGTCATCCAGTCCAACCCCCCTGCAGTGAGCATCTTCAACTACATCAGGTTGCTCAGAGCCCTGTCCAACCTGACCTTGAATGTTTCCAGGGATGGGGCATCTACCAGCTCTCTGGGCAACCTGTGCCAGCGTTTCACCACCCTCACTGTAAAAAACTTCTTCCTTACGTCTAGTCTGAATCTACTATCTTTTACTTATAGGTATTGGGTTGTAAACACCTTGGGTTATTGCCCAAAGGACTGTGGAAGACATGGTCCAGCTTCTCAAATACGCTGCAGAGCACTGTACGCTCATTTTTGAGTGTCATGGGTGCGGGGTGATTTCGTCTTTGCCCTCAATGCAAAGCAGAGTCTCCAGTCGTGCTGCAAATATTGGCCACATTTTAGCCTACTGCCCTGGATGAACCCCTTGACTTGTGTGAGAGGTTCTCACTGCGACAAGGGAAGGGTTGAGAGCAACCCTGGGGCAAGAGTTTGGGCTAGCTCTTCAGTGAAGATTTGCTTAGGAAAACACAGAATGGAAATATGCCCTTGCCAACATGGTTCTACTACTGTTTTTCCCCTAAATTTTACGTCCTCTTTGTTCCTAGACACGCAGGTCTGAACTCCAGAAGCCCCTTAACACGTGCTTCTGCCTGTTCACAGGGAGGTTCCTAGATGCGATGCTTGCCTGAACCAGGACTGAGACTTGTGACATACTTTGAGATCCCTTAGAGTGATATCCTTGCGGATATGTAGAATGGACATATTTTTTGAGAAAGGACTTCTCTTCTTCTGCAGATATACAGGTAGAGCTTGTTCACATAACAGCTTACCTAAAAAATAACGTCCTTAAAAACTGAAAGAGAGTAAGAAAAGTATAAGCACAGTTAATTACCAGGGAGCCATTCCCTGTTAAAGCAGCTCATACACAGACGTGCAAGAGTGTGGTTAATATCATTACATATCTCAGTGCTTCATGAAAGGCTGGGCTTATAAAGAAGGCGACTTTCTTCTGGCGATGAATCTTATCAATAAGCCGATAGGTGTGATGAATTTAGTAATGAGACTAAGGTTTCATTCCCATCCCCATATTGAAAAATTTGTCTCAATTTTTTCCTTGAAGTTTTTCCTTGGAGTTCTATGACACTGTATAATGTGACAAGATATATTCACATTCCTCCATGCGTTTTAATTTCTGTTTGTTCCAATTGCTTGTGCCTTGTGTCTCTGAGCTTTAAGAACTTACAAGAAAATCTCACATGTGGTTTGTTTGCATTCATCTGAAATAATGAGAAGGATGAATATACATGAGCATCAGTGAGCGGTCTTACTAATCAACTCCAATTCATTTTGTTATCAAAGCTGTGTATTCACTCCTTCCCACAGGCAAAAGCCACTAGCCAGAGCAGATACTATATAGTTTTGTCACTGGACAATAGCTTTGTGCTTAGAGTTGATATACAAAACCAGTTGAAAAATATTGATGGTTTTGGATGAACAAAAAGGGGTTAAACAAAAAAAGTTCGAGACATTTTTCTTTCACTTAAAATTTCCTAAGTTTTGAAAGCATTCCTGAAAGTCAAACCTGGTCGCTTTTGATGGAACATTTTTCATTTTCAACCAGTTTCCTCCCTCTCTCACTGACAAAGGAAAATGTGAGTTTTGATTTTCCACAAAGTGCATGCCACAAGAAATTTCTCATGAAAAATCGCAGCAGCTCTTTTCAGCTGACTGTCTTGATATGTGAGATACTTCTCCTTGTGAATCCTGGGTGATGACAGTGGTGTTTAAAGTGGGAGAAGTGTCTCACTAGGGTCAGAAAACTTTGTCAGCAACAAAATTTTTCAACTTTGTCTCCCCTTTGATAAGGTACATTGATATAGCAGCTGTACAGCTATGTGACATTTTAAATATACGTAGGTCGTGTATTTGAGAACTTAAATACATTCAAGTTTAAAATATGTTTTTGTTATTTGAAATATTTATATGTTTGTATCTTGGAATTAGCTCTTATATTTGTGGGTACACTCTTATGACGTTCAAAGAAGAAAGACCCATTGCATTTCTTCTTTCTGGAAAGCAGAGTGAAATGTAGTGTATTATGAGAGCCCCACGCAAACCAGCTGTGCCCCTGGCTGAGCACAGGCTTGAGGACAAGAAAATGGAAATAAGAACGGGCACGGCAGCACCCATCTCTCAGCCTGCCAGCTGGCATCAGTCTCTCTTGGGCATCGATGCATTAGGCAAAGGTAAGAGAAGCAAATCCTGCGCGCGCTAAGCCTGAGCTGACACCACGAGTTTTCCCACGGAAGGGGAGTTTTACAAACCACCTCTGCATCAGCTGGCATTTATAAAGATACCGCTAAATACAAAGCAGCTGAATTTCATGCAGGGTAAGACAAACCACTTCTCACTCTGTATCAGTAAGAGATGTGTCCGGGGCACATTTTCCTGCTGCTGGAGACTGGAAAGCCACTAAATGAGAGGTGCTGCAGCGTGACTGCAGGTAAAAAGCATGAAGTGTGCAAAGCTTAGGTCATTGCTGTCTTCTGCTCCTACCCCGTTCCAGTGACACCCCTTTGATTTAAAGTGGTCAAAGGGCAAAAATGAAGCAGTGGCCGTGGGAGGTAAAAGGCAAGGAGAAGAGAGGAGAAGAAGGGGGAGCTCCAGCCCTAACAGTGATGGGAAGCTCCTGTTTTGGAGACCCCCAACACAGCTGTGTCCCAGGACTGAGGTCTCTCCCCCACAGCAGCTCTCAGTGTTGCCTGAAGAGCAGGAGCAGCCTGGATCAGAGGGTGGTTGGCTCCCTCTATGACATGCTGGGAGGTGCCACTGGATGTCCTGTTTGTGAAACAGCCACAAAGTGGAAACAAACAGTTTCAAACCAGCCTGTCTCCAGTGGAGGAATTCCAGGCCCTTCGACGTGAAATCAGTGAGGGTGAACGACTGACCCTCAGATTCGTGCAATAGAACATATATGCATGCCTGCACATTTTCAGGCAGAATTCTAAGGCTCAGGACTTAAGCACTATACAGCAAAAATTTCACAGAGTCACACAGAATCACAGAATGGTAGGGG